TCCTCGAATGGATGAGTCGCTCGATGCCTTAGCGGGGGCGCGATTCTTTTCCACCCTCGATTTGCTATCTGGATTCTGGCAGCTTCCTCTGGATGACGAATCAAAACCTAAGACTGCTTTTCGTACACCGCAAGGTCTCTTCCAATTTAACCGCTTGCCGATGGGTTTACATTCTGCGCCGGCAACTTTTCAGCGGTTAATGGAATTGGTCTTGGCAGGTTTGCAATGGGATTCGTGTTTGATTTACTTAGACGATGTCATCGTCTTTAGCAAATCCTTCGAGGAACACCTCCAGAGGTTGCGTGCTGTTTTTCTCAAAATGCGGGCTGCCAATTTGAAATTTAAACCGCAGAAGTGCCATTTACTCCGCAAATCGGTGCGATATTTGGGTCACATTTTTGGGCGCTCGGGGATATCCACTGATCCCGCCAAAACGGAATGCGTCAACTCCTGGCCGACTCCCACCTCGGTGGGAGAGGTCAGGAGTTTCATTGGGTTCGCGTCGTATTATCGACGATTTGTGGCTGACTTCGCTACGATTGCGAAACCATTGCATGCCTTGACGTCCAAGGGAGTCAGGTTTCATTGGGGGCCGGAGGAGGAGACTGCTTTTCGCGCCCTCCGGAATGCTTTGGTGGGGGCTCCGCCGTTGAATTACCCCGATTTTTCACAACCCTTCTTGCTCGATACTGACGCAAGTAACACGGGCATCGGGGGCGTGCTGTTCCAGCTCATTGGGGGCGTAGAGCATGTGGTGGCTTACGGTAGTCGGGTACTGTCTCCAGCCGAACAGCGGTACTGCGTTACCCGTCGGGAATTATTGGCGATTGTTTATTTCATTCAGCAGTACCGCCCGTATCTGTACGGTCGGCGGTTCACCGTCCGTACAGATCATGCGGCCCTACAGTACGCCCTGCGGGTTCAACAACCATCGGGCCAGTTGTCTCGATGGTTGGAGATCCTCCAAGACTATGACTTTGTCACCACATATCGTAAGGGTGTCCGCCACACGAACGCTGACGCCCTGTCACGATTGCCACCCACTTCGGAGTGCGCGTGCCTGTTGGGTTCGGGGCGTTGTAGACCCCCGAACGTCACCACCGATTCGGTCCTCGTGGCCGCTGCCGATGCACCTTCGGCTTCGGGTCCTATCGAGCAAGAAGGGAGGGATTCGTTGCTGGGGTTGTCGGTCGCGGAATGGGGACGCCTCCAAATGGAGGACACCTCCCTCCTCGCTCTGCGCCGTCGCGTCGGGGGGGCTGGTCAGGGGGTGGCGAACGTTGACTCGTGGGGGTTGTTCCAGGGTCTTTTAATGCACTGGGATGGAAAAACCCGCCGCCAGCGGCTCGTGGTTCCTGCAGCGTTAAGGGGTAAGGTGGTATGGGCTGTTCATGAGCGGCTTCTGCACTTGGGGGTTCACAAGACCTTTGCCACGCTCCAGCTCGATTTCTTCTGGCCGGGCATAGAAAAGGACGTGGGGGATCTCCTGGGGTCATGCACGCAATGCGCGCAAAGGAAGCCACCTGCTAGGGGGTCCAACCCTCCGCTGCAGTCCATTAAGGTTTCCCGGGTTAACGAGCTCGTCGCTCTGGACATACTTGGCCCATTTCCCGCTACGCCCAGGGGCAATAGGTATTTACTAACGGGGGTTGAATACTTCACGAGATGGCCTATGGCCTGGCCCCTGGCGAACCAGTCGGCAGCAGCCATCGCGGAGGCCTTTGTCCAGGGCTATGTCCTCGACAAAGGTGCTCCGGAACGGCTGCTTACTGACCAGGGTAGGAATTTTTCTGGTAAACTCCTACGTGAGGTGTGCGACCTCTTGGGTACGGAGAAGGTTCGGACCTCTCCGTATCACCCACAAACTGACGGGATGGTGGAACGGCTGCATCGGACCATCACGTCCATGCTGTCCCAGCAGGTGTCGATATCCCAGACGGATTGGGACCTCCGTATAGCCGGTGTGTTGCAGGCCTACAGAATGGCTCCCCATGCGGCCACCGGATTTTCCCCTTTCTTTTTAATGTATGGGCGCGAAGTTCACCCCCCTGTGGCGACCCAGCTGAAGCTCTCGGCGCCCCAGGCGAAGTCTAACTTGTCCGAACACGTTAAATTTAACATCGCTAAATTGTCTGAGGCGCGGGAAGCGGCCGTGCAAAATTCCGAACTCCGCCAGAAGGCGAACGAGAGGCTTCGGTTGGGGCGGGTGCAGGTGGTCAAATGGAAACCAGGGGACAGGGCGTGGTTGCACTGTCCTCAGGTGCCGCTGGCAACCTCGTCGAAATTGGTACGGCCGTGGCGGGGGCCAGTGGAGGTCGTGCAGGTTTTGCGGCCACAATGTGTTCGCGTCAAATGGGGGAGGCGCCGGTGGTATGTGCACCCCTCAAGGTTAAAACCATTCGTCACGCCGCCCCGTGGTTCACACACACACACGCATGGCCAAACGTGTGAGGGTGTCGCCGACTCCCCGTCGTCGCTGCACTCGCCTAACCTGACGCCAACTGTTCCGTCCCCAGGTGAAACAGGAGTGACGGGCCCACGCCCACCAACCCCTCCCGGAGGGGTCGGGGGTCACTCGGCAGCGACGCCTGACCCTCTTGTACCCGGACCGTCAACAACCGTCACTGAGCGTGCCGGGACGGGCCCTTGTGACGGGCCCGCCGCGAGAACGCGCGCCAAAACGCGCAGACTTTTGTGAGGTCGGCCGTTGGGGGGCCTTGCGGACAAAAGGGAAGGGGTGTTGTGAGGTCGGCCGTTGGGGGGCCTTGCGGACAATGGGAAAGGTGGCGTCCGGAGTGTATATATATGTTGGTTTTGGGGTGTTATCCGGGGAGGGTGCGTCGGGTTATATTTTTTCTCTCTCTCTCTCTCTCTTCCTCTTGTTGTTCTTGTTGAAGTTTTCTTGTTCTTGTTAAAAATTACGCGAGGCACACACACGGGGTTTTTGTGAGGGATGCACCTTTATTCTGATTTTTTTTGCAGCCGGGGACGGCTGCGAGCTGTACAGGGGGGGGTGATGTAGAGGTGTAATTGCGCATGGCTACGAATGTTGAGGTGTGATTATGCATGGCCACGGATGGCCAACAAACACAAGGGGCGGGGTTACGGCCGTACACAAGGGTGGCGCTCGCACCGACGTCCGCATGTGTATCCCCCACGGGCCCCCCCTCGGGGGCGAGTCCTATAAAAGGTGATGAGCTCGAGGGCTCGAGGTCGGGACTCAGCTTTAACCAGAGAAGACGGAAGACCAGCTAGTGTAGGCCCCAGAGCTCCCCTGGCTCGCTGTCCTTATAAGGGCCGACCAGGGCAAGCCGGTGGCGTGGCCCCGAGAGCCCAGACGAAGCTGGTCTGGTGACTCAGGGAGCCGGGATCCCAGCTTAACCAAGCTGGGACAGATAGCCTCCCCTAGTCCTGTAGTGGAGGAATTGGTATAGGTTAGAGGGGTTAGCTGTCGAGAAATCCCTGTAGCCAAGTGACCTGTAATGACTGTGCTGGTGTAATAAATAAGTGTGCCTCCGATCCTGTTGTCAAGCCTCCATATACTTACTACACACGTAACAATGGACGGCGTCGGAGAATCAGAAGTTGTAAACAATGGATGAATTGCCACAAATGGCTTCAACAAATGATAATGGTAAATTGTATGACAGTTTTGAAAAGGAGTAGTGTTATTTTTTGTATAATTTTCATCAAATTGAAAAAAATTATAATTGCATTCTACTTAAGTAGGAAATATTAGTTAAAACAAGTGGGATGACTGAGGGGAAGGAATTTACCATGTTTGGCCAGTGTGAGTACATACTGCATATTTATTAATGGTAAGTGATATATTTTTTATAGTTATATACATTTGATTTATAGGCACTGGTTTTGGAAACATAAAAAACTAGCAGAAATTATCAGCCAGAAAATCGAGCTTCCCTTGTTCAATCTCAGAAAACCAGTCAGGTTATATATTAGTCACATGCTATTCTGTACTTGTATGTAATTGTACTTTTGAATATAAACACAAGCAAGCAATTCTACTTATGAATTTGTCAATTGAATAGTGTCAACCAATGTGGTGAATATGGTGGCACAGTGGTTAATGGACTGAACAATGAACTCAACCAATTGAATTTCGATTTAAAGCTTTTGTGACTGCAGGGATTCATCTTCTTGGTTCTTTCGGTAAAGTCACGTAGAAGGGAAATAATAAAATAATAAAAATGAAACATAATAAAATAATTTTCTTATGTTTTATAATAAAACAATAAAAATATAATGTAGTAAAATAAATGTAATTAATTTATTTATTATTATTTTATTATTTCCCTTCTACGTGACTTTACCGAAAGAACCAAGAAGATCAACCAATTGAGTTCGCTTCCCAGCCACAGCAATTATACATTAGTGGTGAGTGATATCTGGGTTACCCCTTCACCAACCTGTGCTGACGAGTGGTGAAGAATGGTCAAACAACACTCAATGGACTGAAAATCATGAGGAGGCCTTCATCCATAATGCAAAATAATTGTTTGTATTAGTTGTATTTCATTGGTGTGGTGGATAGCAATGTTCCCTGCATTACGTTCTAAAAAGGGCACCACGGTGGTGAGATGTTAACTACCTCGACCCTGACGCTTGTGTATTTTGAATTTGCATGTTTTTCCTGTGGTCGTGTGGATTTTTCTCCGGGTCCCCTGGTTTTCCCTCCACATTTAAAAACATGCCAATATTTGGCTGCAATAAATGTCCACCTGATAAGCCACTTCGTTGAGCTATCATTTGTGGCCAGGTCGCTTCTGAAAAAAAGCTATATGGCTCAGTGTGGGCCATTGATGCTAAATAAAATAAAATGGTTAACTTTCGTTTATAGTCGTATCGTTTAAAAGAGCCACATGCGCACACCCCTCATATGGAAGTGGAATCCTCCTACCCTACCCACACAATGGCCTAGCCCAGAAGCATCATGTGTCGCTGGTGTACGTGAGGGGAGTGGATGGCCACGGGGCACAGTGAGAAGCTCGGGGCTGCATGCGACCAGCCCGTTCTCCCACACAACGCCTTCAACAAGTTGATGCCACAAAAGCCTAACATGTGAGCGCAGGCTGTAAGCACAATGGAGCTACAGAATCTCGGGCGAAAGTGACAGCCAAGTTACCGAGTGTATCTTAAGGAGGACTAAAAGGGGCACACGCACACTACTATCATTGGGATCACGCAGACAGCTTTAACTGACACGCTACCTGAGTTGTACGACACATATATATTACGTGACAGCAATTGCATCTCGCAAAGGGGAAATCGGATTTACATAAAATGTGAATGAGTTAAAGATGATTTTTTTAAAGGATGATACGATTATATGGGTTTCACAGAGTGCACGTTCGTGAGAGTAGCAGCGCATCGCACACCGCCTTCACAAGGAGACAAAATATATCACGATTGAGAATTTTTATCGGAGTCGATAACATTGTACGGCGTGTACATTTTTTTTTTAAAGTTTGCATCGGAGGTTTGTTAAGTCATTTTTTAGTTTTACTCTGCTTGGGATTTTTTTGAGTGACCAGGAGTTTTCTGTGATTGGCAGTCACGACGCCGGTCATGTGACGGAGGGCTGCACAACGGCTCCGCAGGGTGAAGCGCCAAGAGGTGGCGTTGGCCGTTCACGTCGCCGATTTGCCTCTCCGTGAGCGCACAGAGCGCGCCCCTCCTCCCCCCTCCTCCTCCACCCCCTCCTCCTCCCTCCCTCCTCCTCCGCCGTCGTCCCCACGCAGCCAGCACGCGCGCCTCTCCCCAAAGCAGGGAATCTGCAGAGGAGCCGGCCACTGCCGCTGTCACTGCCACTGCCGCTGTCACGGCCGCGATGAGGTACGTCGTGGGGATTTTGTCCCCTTTCTCTTTCGTTTTGGCCCATTTGCCGTGTTTTTCTGTTTTAGTTGTCACCTGAGAATACCAGTTATTCAAAGTGAAGAATGTGTTTTTGTTGTTGAAGATGTGTATTTTGTGAAGGGAATACGCATGTGGCATTCTGGTGTTTTATTTTCCATGGTCTCTGACGACATTGGCTATTACGTAAGAACATTACAAGCTTTACAAGCTGAGAGAATAGTGTGATTAGGTGATTATTATAATTGATATCTTAACCCTCTATCAGATGGTGCATATTTGGGTCAAACTCTCTGCCCATCCTGTCTGATGTTGAGCTTTCGTTTTCATTTGACCATACAGACACCATTGCTTCAAGTCGTCAAAATTTGTTTAAACTACTATTTCAGAGGAAGAAATTACATCATTTATTGCAACTCGTTTCAAGTACACAAGCCGATGCTATATATACCTTGATTTATCATGCATCGTAACAAATTTTGCCACGTAATGACTTAATTGTAATAATCAAAATAGACGATCATTCACATTTCTTACACTCACGTATATCAAATTAGTGACTTAATATTCTGGTCCCCCTTCAGGTATCCGTAATAAAAGCACAAAACGCATGGGACGATGCTCAACTTCCATTGAAGATTAATGCGCAACACTAGTGGCTAATATAACATGGGGGGTAGGCGGGGGGATCAAGGGATGAAACACTGCGCAAAAAAATAGGAGACGCTGAATAGCGCTCGGTGCAGTGTGTTCACCATCCAAGCTCATTGGGTCTGCTCCCTTGTGAAATAGAATTACACTTCTATGATACACGTTCATTGCCATATTCTTGGTTCTTTCGGTAAAGTCACGTAGAAGGGAAATAATAAAATAATACAAATACAACATTATAAAATAAAATTCTCACGACGTTTCCCTTCTACGTGACTTTACCGAAAGAACCAAGCATATGAATCCATGCAGTCACGAAAGCTTTAAAACGTTCATTGCCGTTTACGGGCACGGATAAAGCATTGTGTTGTTGTTTTTTTTGCAGTGAGAAGTATTCTTTAAAAACGTTATACAACGGACAAGATTCTGTTGCTCACATTGCAGCGCTAAATAAAAACACTAGCTGGAACCTGATCATGGTTATTTCAGAATGTGTTAACCCGCACGTTATTTTAACGGTGCATTGTTTTAATTTGAAATGTCACGATGACATGGGGACAAAATTAATGGATGAATAAGTCGTTAGAAAGTTTGTCACTGCTAAAATAACTTTGGGATTTTTTCTTACGATCAAATATCGTACTTTATCGATATTGATGTGCTTTCATTGGGCATAATAATGCATTTCCCAAGAATGAGCATCACTAGGATATCGAAACCATTGCTGAATGAAAGTCCATGGTGTTGCAACAGGGTAGGACAGTGGAAATTATCCTTCGGGAATTTGCAATAGCAACCTGTCATTTTATAGCATACAGTCCTGTTGTCATGGACATTATTTTACATATCATTATTATTATTACATAATGTGTATGAAAGATTGTGCAAAAATATATAAGAATATATAAAATCCAAATTTAACAGTCCTTCAACCAAATTATAGTCTCATCATGGGTTTTAAGATAAAGACATAACTAGACGTGTGACACATGCATATCTGTTACAATATTCTCAGATAAGAGGTAAATTAACAAGAAAATATTGAAGATGACAATGAGTTTAAAGTAATTGTACAAATTATGTCATTAAGAACAACTCTAATTAGTTATTTAGATATGTACCATTTCCCATTACTGGCTGTTGAGCAGACGAAGCAGGTAAAGCCAGTGGCTGTGACACAATATATGCCAGGTGTTCCTTTCACGACAGCATGACAGTCAAAATACGAACACGTTCATGAGACCGTGATCTCTGGCACCCAGAATTACAGCATTCTCAAATATTTGGGTTCCACCAGATGATATTTAATTGTAGCTACAATGGATTTTCCACGATCGTTGCGCTTTATTTTTCCATTGTCATACACCAGTCTACGAGAGCTTTCAATATATTACAGACCAAAAAAATGGTTTTAAAATAAGGAAATAACTGCAACTCAGTGATATTCGCACAGGTTAGACATACGTGTAAATGCATATCACTGATATTCAGTGACAAACATCTACATTGGTTATTTTAATGCCACAAACTCCAGTGGGCGATTGACTCATAAAATGAATGGGGAACTATTTAATTATTTACATATATCTCTCCCCCTTCCCCCACAGGTGGCTCTCTGACGTGGACACGGTGCTGGGAAGACTGACTTAATGGCTCCGTGCTGCAGTAGGGAAGGAGCTGTCATGCTCAAGTGGTGCTGATTATTTATTGTGTGCGGCTCGCATGACGTGTGAGCATCAGGTTTAGTGAGAAAACGGTGTTGCACTTTTTTCTTTTGTTTTCAATCGCCACTCAATCGCACTGCCATTTAATGTATGCTCACAACAGTGATGGGTAGTATGCGCACAACGAACCGCTACAGCATTGTTTCGTCCGAAGAAGATGGGCTGAAGCTGACCACCATGCAGATGATGAATGGGCACGGAAACGGCAACGGCAAGATCCACACCCGCCGTCGGTGCCGCAACCGTTTCGTCAGGAAAAACGGACAGTGCAACGTTCACTTTGTAAACATGACCGACAAATCGCAGCGATACTTGGCGGACATGTTCACCACGTGCGTGGACATTCGCTGGCGCTGGATGCTGCTCATCTTCACGCTGACTTTCGTCTTGTCGTGGCTCGTGTTTGGTCTCGCGTTCTGGGTCCTCGCGCTGATCCACGGGGACCTGGATGGTGCCAAATCGCCGTGTGTGATGCACGTGACGAGCTTCGTTGGCGCGTTCCTGTACTCCGTCGAGACGCAGACCACCATCGGCTACGGATCTCGCTACGTGACGGAGGAGTGCCCCACAGCCATTATCCTCGTCGTGCTGCAGTCGATTGTGGGCTGCATTATTGACGCTTTCATGATCGGCGCCATTATGGCCAAAATGGCTCGGCCCAAGAAGAGAGCGCAGACGCTGCTGTTCAGCCACAATGCCGTCATCGCCATGCGTGATGGGAAGCTGTGCCTGATGTGGCGCGTGGGCAACCTGAGGAAAAGCCACATCGTGGAAGCTCATGTGCGGGCACAGCTCATCAAGCCGAGAATAACAGAAGAAGGGGAATACATTCCATTGGACCAGATAGACATCAATGTTGGGTTTGACAAAGGCCTCGACCGGATATTTCTTGTATCGCCAATAACCATCGTTCATCAGATTGATCTGGAGAGTCCACTGTATGGGATTAGCAAACAGGAACTGGACATAGCAGACTTTGAAGTTATCGTCATATTAGAAGGCATGGTGGAAGCAACAGCAATGACCACGCAAGCACGCAGCTCGTACCTCTCCAGTGAAGTGTTGTGGGGCCATCGCTTTGAGCCAGTTCTTTTTGAAGAGAAAAATCATTACAAGGTGGACTACTCGCGGTTCCACAACACCTACGAGGTGCACACACCTGCATGCAGTGCAAGAATGTTGGCCGAGAAAAATTTTGTGGTTCCCACCACAACAGCAGCATTCTGTTATGAAAATGAGGTTGCACTGATGAGCAAAGATGAGGAGGAGGAGGAAGAAGACGATGAAAATCAGAGCAGGGACTTAAATGAGATTGGACTGGGAAGTGCTCTGGAGATGGATCACTTACAGGCCACCATCCCACTGGACCAGAGGTCATATCGAAGGGAATCTGAGATTTGACAGCTTCTTGGCTTTCTATTTCCCCACCAGAAATCCTAAGTTGGGAAAAAAAGCTCTTCAAACAAGCTTCAGTGTAGTAATCCGATGTGCCCATCAAGAAGCAATACCGAACTAAGAAGAATGTGTGATGTTTTTTTCTGGCTGTCTCTGAATGTTCTCAGAATGATCCAGGAAAATAATATTGATTGTTGACCAATTGTTTTGGTATCTGTTAGAATGTTGTTCCAATATGAAAGCTATACCGGTGAGATGTTCTCAGATGTTCAAGTTAGTTTTTATTTTTGCATATGAATGCAAAGTTAGTGCTTTGAAATGGAGTTGTTAATGCAAAGAGAAAATCCCCCCCAAAAAATAAGCAGTACCAGTCGTTATACCGTATTGGAAGCCGTTATAGTTGACAGTACTTTACCAATGGATGCACAAAGATCCACTGCAGGTGAAAATAAGTGCAGTTCCACTTTGTGTGGATTAAGGAATGGACCGCTGTTAATAGTAGTGCTCGTGTAAACATCCTGCACATGAATATTTTAATGACATGGAATAAGAGCACAGTTGAATATTTTTTTAACAGGAAAGTGTTACGAATAAAACCAATGGAGACTGTTTAGACATTAACCGATCCTTGTATTTTGTGCTGAGATATCACGTCAGTGTTAGCGATTCACACACACATATATTAATGTAGTGCAGTAAATAGTTGCTATTAATTTATTGAACAAAGTGTACAGAAAACTATTTTATGGGTGGCAACTGGAGTTAAAGGGGGGTTTACTAATCAGGGAGAGTATTCAGTACTTATTTGTATAATAAAGAAATAAATGCACTCTATTGTAGACACTTTAAGGGTAAATGCAATGCCTTCAAGGGAGGTATTTTTTGTGTCGATGTCCCCTATTACGGTTGCTTCAGGCTGTAAATGTACGCGTCGCACATTTTAGCTGGTACTTATGAGGGGGCATGCAGAGAGAGAGAGTACTAAATCAACAGCTTCCACTTATTCTTTTAATCGTAATGCTCGTTTAAATTTGCTTTGCTTTGATTTGGCATGAAATATACAGCCCTGTTCATTAGGGTCTTCCTCTCATCTATTTTTTGCAGCCTATCAAGTATGTAGACGATGCTTCGCGATTGTACGAATGGGAAAAAGAGCATCCTTAATGATCAGGCTGGCTGAATATATTAACGTGTTTATCTTGTTTACTCTTTAAAGCATCATCTTTTCTTTACAGCAATCTTGTGACTTAACAGCCATACATCGTCGTTCTTTGCATGAACCAATATTTTCCCGTGTCTAGTTGCAGATTTAAAGGCAACCACACCAAACACATTTGCAGGCTAGCAGTATATATGTATATTTCCTCGTTCTTCATATTAGATTCCTTACTGCTTTACCAATACACGGTATAAGGTATCTATTTTTAGAGTATACCGTTCACACTTTGTATAGCTTGTTTGATTTTTTTCCATGATAATGCTTTAAGGAAATCTATTCCCGTATATGCCTTTTAGATATGCACTGTAAAATTAACCTGTTTGTGTGTCCTATCTCCAGTATGACTGTAATAAACAAATATGTTTAAAATGTCACTTCTTCCAAATGTTTTATACATTCGTGTGGTTTCCAAGAATGTTCATCTTGGCGATGCGCTCACATCGGGTGCACCTTATTGTGCTTTCGTTTGCCACACGCATCACATTTTGCACAGTAATTGCATGCGCAGATGTACCTGTGGGCTTTGGAAGAACTCAGTTTTACCATCGCTATCATGAACACACGCACACACAACAAAGGTGTTTTGCCGAAGCTCAAATGCAGGCACCTGTAAACTCAGCGTGCGGCAGTACATCTTACATGACGTCAGCATTGATGCAGTTCATTCACGGCAATGTCTTGTATATAGATTTTAAACTTAGTTGCTGAGCACAGGACCAGCATGTCAAGCAGCCAGCAACAAACAGCACCATCAAAGTTGTAATGGATAACAGTTAACACATTTCTTGGATTCAGCAGGGTTATGAGAGCTTGGGAAAAAGGAAATGGGAGGGAATGCCAACGTGAAGAGGCATAAAAAGAGAAGTGTTTTACCGGCGGTGTGGTGTGAGAGTGGGTGAGTGATTGTGTTGTTGTGGCCTGCAGTGTGGTGGTGAATTAACACAACATGGACAAGACGAAACGGTCAGTCTGAAAGACCTCAACATAGGCGGAGGAATCAAAGAGCGAAGTTCACGGGAACAGCAACCATGGTAGCAGCGATAGAAGAGGGATAAGGAGACAACTGATCACCAGTCAATGAGTGACGTGAGTGAATCAAAGTGGGGGATCATCAATCACCCTGACTGCTTTACGATGAATCATATCAAGGTACAGTGAGGTAGGAGCCGAGTGCTCCACCCCAGATATACTACTATGTTTTATTTTACCAGGTAAGGCTCCACTGAACTATATAGTTCTTTTTCAGAAGCGACCAGGCCACAAAAGATAGCCCAACAAAGTGGTTTATCACGTGGAAATTCATAGCCAAACAGCCGAAGTTATGCTTTTTATTCTAATAATGATTGTTTTCTTCGATGCCTCCTGATTAAGGTCTGTAATCAAGTCGATTCATGACGGATCAGGTGAGTTTGTTGTTACTATTGATACGAATATCATTGTTAAATATGATGGGAAAAACTGTGGAATTACAAGCCTTGGTTGTGATATAATGATTGACATGGGTTTAAAAAAATAGATATTTTAGTTTTTTTTATCCCAATAAAGATGTGTCTTCGAGTCAGTGGTGATCAGTTGTGAAGAATATATGCTTTGGGCAGCTAAACGTATTATTTTGAGCTTGGAATTTAAGTGAGTGTAATGCATGAAGTGTACTGTTATTTCCAAAGGAGTGGGTCACATTCTGAATGGAAGAAAATGAAAAAAAATAAAGAGATGAAATACTGGAGGAGACAAAACAGATCATTGCAGAATGCCAGAGTTAAAGAAAAAAAGAACAGAGAAGTAATTTCCTCCAGAGTTAACTGCTCGAGTATAATCAGAGCACTTATAGGCCATGGCCACACTTTCTTCTCGAATGTGACCACACCATTGCCCCCAGAAATCATCTCATTGAAGCTTCCTCCAGTAACGAAGCAGACACAACAAGCGACTCCAGGTCACACACCTGCAGCCCCCCCCCCCCTCCCAAAAGCGTCACCAATGGGCTCAGGCCTCAGCACTCTCGGGTGGTCACCTTGCGGGGATGGTGGTGGGGGGGACCGTTTGATTGGGGTACCCTAATAACAGGGAGAGTTGCCATGGAGAGGACATGTTGTCTACAGCTAGTATAGAAACTGCAGGACCGAGTTGTCATGGAGAGGACATGCTGTCTACAGCTAGTATAGGACCAACTTGTCATGGAGAGGACATGCTGTCTACAGCTAGTATAGAAACTGCAGGACCGAGTGCTGCCCAACAACCTCGAGCAGGTATAAAAAGCAGGGCAAAGCCCCTTGAGGATCCCTAGAGCATGAGGAGGCAGTGGCACTGGGTAATGTGTTAAGACATCGGTGTTCAGGCCACACCGGTGGTTTAAGACACCTCGTACCTATGTGTGCGGTGGCTTCTCGAGCAATGCCTAGGTCCGCAAGCAAGCGAGAGCCCAGGTCACTTCTCCTTTGAAGTGACCTCATGCATTGGAGACGCAACACATGCTTGATTGGGACAATGGGTCACTTTAGAACTGCTGTATAGCCAGATGAAAATATCTATACAGGTTTCCCTCGCTTTGGCAGGTTTAGTTTCCGAAAATTTGCGATTGTATGGCTCACCTATTTCTACCCAAAATGCATATGCGGCTATGCGGTGGGATGTGGGACGACATTGCGTGTACTGTATGCGCTACTCGGCAGGCAGCTGTCTCGTGTGGTTTCGCTTTGTGCCCATCTCCCGCGTAAAGTGAGGGAAACCCGTAAGTGCTTATGTTGCCACGGCATATAGATATGGCGTCATGTGTTTATTGCGAAAATAGAAGCAGCCATGGCTATTTTTGCGAGTGTTGCATCGATGTGACAAGATCACAAGATACTCTGAATCCACCAACATTATTTTCTGTATACTGTATACTATATATGTATACTATATATAAATACCAAAATGCTGTATGACATTCTAAACTGGCCAATGTAATTTATTTAAAAATGTATTTGTTTAGAATTAATAAATAACATAGGGTTTTTTTCTCCTATCAACATGCATCATCGAGCACCTCCAGAGGATGCACTATTGGTGGTTTTGATGGAAAGCGAAGTCGAACATCAGTTGTTTAATGCACTGAGAGCCAGAGCCAAAGGTGATACTGAATTATCCACAGCCTACCGCCATGATGCTGTTTATGTACATAGTCTGATAACCACTGAAGTTAAACTGACTGGCATTTCTTAAATGTTTCAATGTACCAAAATCCAGAAGACACCCGGGAGAATGCAAAGATTTGAATTTGCCCTCGAGGATACAGCGTCTTGTCAGCGTATCAAATTGCCACAATCCACGTTCAACCCCAGTCTCTGACAATCAAATTTAAATACACTTTCATTTGGCTCTCTTAGCCAGTGGGGAACACCCATCATAAATCAGCGTTCCTCTACCAAAAGAAATGTTATCCTGGTTTAAAGGCATTATTGGAATATACCTTCCATAACAGGAGCGATTGCTGAATTGTGACCTTCAGGCCAGTGTAAAATTAATTAAATGCTGTGGACTCTGAAAGTGTGAGGACACTGCTATGTCACTTTGCTACAATTGTTCTGGTTTAATAATAGAGAATCCTGACATAGAGTTCGCATATTTTGTTTTATGTAAGAGGCAGCAAGCACAATGTGTGCCAATAAAGAACCAGTGCCTGGAGAGTGGTATGTCATGAAATGAGGGTTTTATTAGTGCAACAAACATTAATTCAGAATCATAGGTCTTCAGGGTGATTTTATGGGACAGAAGTATTAAACATGCAGCATATGTAACTTTTATACTGATCTTACATGAGGTTTGAGATGAAATATAAGTTATGCATTTTTTTACGTGAAGAGGGTGGACTGTGAATGCCGCATTTGATTTTTACAAGCCAAGATTACAATGAAAGTGTGGATTTCTAATATCACCCACAGACAAATATAATAATATTTTGAAAATAATCATCCCCTCGATAACTTCATCAGGTATGTAACAATTCACCAGTGATTCCGATTTGTCATAATCTTCATCATTCAGGGTCCAAGAATCAATAATATGTTGTGTTGTATTTATAATCTCATTCGTATGGTTGTCTCATTTTGTCTGCCTTGTTAGAATATATATATTTCTCTCCATTAGCCCAAATGTAACACAATTTGCAATCTTGACCAACCAAATCTGGCATGCATATTTTGAAACATGCGCTTTGAGTGCAAGAATCGATTTTAATAGATGCATCTGAACATGCCTGGTTTATAACATACATAGTCATGCATTTGTATGATTTGTGAATGCACTGAATTACACCACAATTGAGAATGATAAATATGAAATAAATCAGTGCACAAACATAATAAACTTTATAAATGTCCTCAACAGTGACAACATTCTCGTTTATTCTTTTAATATTTCTCTAAACAGTGTATACAGTTTCCCACTCTTGATTTGCTTTATTCTGATGTGAAAAGTGTATCGGCTGAATATATTGATTGTTCTAAATATAAAATGATGAGGCAATGGATGCTGTGCTGTAAACAGATGTAGGGGAAAGATTTTTTTTCAGATTGTCCCTGATTTTGTGGACCTGCTTCCTTGATGATATCTACATTCATGCTGGTCAGCTGGTACAGTGAAGATACCCGACAGGGAAGCACACGCAAGCAGTTCTCACCCAACGCACGGGCTTCTAGCCAAAGCTAAATAAAACAAAAAAGCACCAGCCAAAGTTCACATCAATTCATCTTGCGTCCATCTTGATCTGTATGCACAATTATTCATCTTCAGTAAAAAATTATAATTAAACTTCCAGATATATGGTAATAGATTTGTGAAGACGAGCATGGTAGTGATAACAATTTTGGGTCAACGATTTGATCCGTTACATATTTAAGACTTCACAATCTTCCAGGAAAAGCTTTTCTTCTTCCAGGAGAGTGTTCACAGAGGAGATGGAGAGATGAAATCTGTTAGCGTGCAAGGTGCTAGGTGGATTGGGATGTCGCAAAATCCTGAGAGATGATGATGACTTGGGGAGGTCATCATCTGGCTGATGATGAAGAAGATTAATGATTTCAGGCACATGCCATTGATGAGTGATTAGAAAACAAAACATAGAACACAAAATACATTCTTACAATGACTTTCATGACTGCATTTAGTGGTGCCGAGGTGATTTTACATTTCAATCGGTGAATGTTTTTAGCTTATAGAAACCAAAGTGTTGAGTCTTGGGGAGATAAAATAAAAATACAATTATATATATTTTCTCACTGGCAAACCACAATGGGTGTTTTGTCTCATGCATGCGCACTGGGGGATGCGAAATTATGCGTGACAGCAACA